CATAGGAGGAAATCAGGTTGATCAGGCATTACTTGATCTTGGTGAATCTGTGCTGGCTGGTCCTGATCACATTGTTCTTTCCCAAGTACTTCAAAATAGATTTCTTGAGGACCTGCTTCATGATCTTTTGAGGTATCGAGGTCAGACTGGCTGGTCTGTCATTCCCCCAAATCCTCCATCTTCCCTTTCTTAAAGATGGGCACCATGAATTATGCATGCCCCTGGCAGCAGTGGAAGCACAGCTGCGCCCGCGGTGGTGGGAGCACGGAGGCGGTAAGCACGGATCTCCCGCAGATGCTGCCGGCACTGTCGGCGGCGGGGTTGGCGAGTGCTGACCAGGGGTCAGCGACCACCCACAAGCACTGCCTGCAGACACTGTCAGTAATGTCAGTGACTGGGTGGTGAGTGGCGCCTGTCCACAGGCACCACCAACAGTGCACCCCCTACACATTGCCCCTGATGGGCACTATATTTGCCCCTTTCCAGTCATCTGGGTCTTTGCTTGACCTCTGGGAGGTCTGAGAGAGTATAGCTAATGCATCTGAAATTACCTTGGCTGGTTCCATCAGTGCCCAAGGATGCATCCCAGCTAGCCCTGCTGACTTGAAAGCATCTAGCTTCTGTAAGTGATCCCTAATTTTTCCTCCTACTCTAGACTATTTGTCTCCTTCCCTGTCTTTGCTGCTAACCACACTCATCATCTATGGCTGCCCCTATTTGTGAAGACTGAAGTAAAAAAGGTATTAAATACTGAAGCTTTCTCTGCCATCCATGATTAGATTGCCTTCTGCATTATGAAAAGTACTTATGGTTTCTCTGGTCTTCCTCTCACTTTTGACATACTTGTGGAATCCCTTTTTATTGCCATTTATGTCCCTGGCCAGCTGCATCTCCAATCGTGCCTTGGCCTTCTTGATTTTCTCTCTGCATGCCCAGGCAATACTCTTAGAGTCTTCCCAAGTTTCTACTTTGTGTAGGATTCATGTTTGAGTTTCAACTCATTGAAGATATTGTTGTCTAGCCAGGCCGATCTCCTGTTACATTACCCATTCTTGCATCGAATTGGGATAGCCTGCTCATGTTCCCTTAAAACAGCCTCCTTAAAGTGCAGCCAAATCTTCTGGACTCTTTTTCCTTGGACTGACCCCCCAGGGGATCCTGCCTCCCAGTTCCAGTGCTACTCCGGGGAACTGAGTAACAAGGAGGCTAGAGTCTTTTCAAGGTTATGTTAAAAGCCTATGCCAGATCCAGGAAATGAGCCCTAATTTCTTTGTGGCCTGTCCTACACCCTTATTACATCACTGTTTTTCCTTACCACCGGCACCATCATCTTAACAGGTTTCCAGGACCACTGAGCATGTTTAATTAGCATTTAAGCCCCTGCTTGCTCTTTCAAGATGTTCTTTGATTGTGAAATGACTATAGGCTGTGTACCACATGGGTGCAATCCTGTGATTTCTTCCTCCTGCAGGTAGCCCATACTCAACTGTATGTTTCCATTTGAATCAGTGAGATTACCCATATGGATAAGGTCCTGTAGAGAGAGGTCCTCAGGATGCAGAGGATGACAGCACAGTTTAACCTCCTGATTGCCAACCCCCTTTTTTCCATGTATTTTGTTGCTGTTATAATATAGAATTGACAGATATCATAAGTACTTCACCGTTAGTTAATTCTGATGGGGGCCTCATTTGCTAAAAATCCGGCTAATGGGGTTGACAAACAGCAGCCTGGAGCCGTGATTCCTCAGATAAGGATTTTGCCATGCGTGGCAGTTAGAGATTGGCAAGAAATGAGCTGCAGCACTTATAGCTCTGAATAGAGCAACATGAACATCATTTCTGTCTCCACTTTGGACACGGTTGTGACTTTATAAATCAACATTTAGCCATTGTTCCCTTTACTATTGTTGTTTTATTTATTGGCTGAGAATTACCTCTGCAGCTGCTGCTTTTATTGTTAATAATGAGGAGGAGGAGGAGGAAAAGGATGACGGGGAATGGCGGGGAAAAAATGAATTGAACCACACCTCAAATAAATCCACTCTTCGGAGATTTGATACTGAATGGAAGACATCTCCCCTCCTCCATTATTTTTCACTACTGCATATAGTTCTGCCCTTTCTAATGCTGCCCAGGTATGGACAAGTCAAGAAGATCATGATAAACACTTTTCTCATAGATTCCTGGCCCAAATAGAGCAGTAATCATCATCAATCTCTCATTTTGAGACTTCTAGCAGTTTTGCCAAAGT